GAGTCCAGGTGGTTGAGTATCAGATTGTTTCATCTTGTTTCCCTTTGGGGTTCCTGTAGGTGATCTGGAAGTCTGGATTTTAGATTTGTTTACATGTCTTCTCGTTTCAGTGGGGGGTGTTCTGCTGGCGCCCATGCAGCTCACCTCCTCCTCAGCATTGGTAATGTAGCCCAGAAGGCTCCTTCTTGGCCCTAGAGGCGGTTCTGCTCCTCAATGCTTGGGGCAGTGGTACAGCGGCCCAGAAGGTTCATCTCCTCCTTGGCGCTCCAGGTCAAGCTAATTCTAAATTGAATGTTCCATCATTTATACTGAGTAATCTATTGAAATTTCTTAATTAAGAATCTCAAATCAATCACCATCAGTCATTAGTTTCATCTTCAAAATGTCCTCTTAGACCAAGAGTGCTCAAGCATTTTAGAAGAAATGCAGCCTCTTATGAATGCATTCAGGCAGTAGATACTCATTGACCACACACTCTTCATTCTGGCACAATTAGACTGGAGCAAATATTCCATGAGGAATCTCCCAAGATTTACACTAAAGGAGGAAGACATTGTTAGACAGGTAAACAGTAATATTCATGAATAATCACAGCATACACGGTGATCTGAAGGGGGTAGCAAAAGGTGCTTCAATGAAGAGTAACAGGCTATGTATTTACAGGTAGTCACTAAGGAAGAGGTCTGCAACAGACTGATGTTTGTGATGCCCACAACTCATTTGTGAAAAACTAATCCACAATGTGGTGGCATTAGTATGTGGGACTTCCAGAGGCAATTAGGTAATGAGGGTGGAGCCCTCATGAATGGGACTAGTGCCTTACAAAAGGGACTCAAGAGATCTCTTGCCTTCCTTTATCCAAGAGAATAGAAGTGTGCAACCTGGAAGAGGCTCCTCACCAGAACGAAAGCATGCTGGCCCCCTGATCTTGGACTTCTCAAAATCCAGAACTGTGAAAAACAAATTTCTCTTGTTTATAAGACACTTTGACTAGGGTATTTTGATATGGAAACATGGACTAAGACAACCTCTGAGGGGATGATATTTGAGCTATAGCATGATTATAAGAAACACTCATGCAATGAAAATTTCAATATAGCAATGAAATCCACAAATATGCAAAAGTGGGGAAGATCTTGGGATCTTCCCATGGAACTGAATGATCCTATTAGAGCTAGATAGAGCAAGAGAGTTTGGCAGCAGCCAGACTACACTGGTCTTTCCTAACAAGACAAAGGGTCTAGTTGTGCTCTCAGTGTTATGGAATTCATTGGATACTTTCAAGCTGGAAAATTATGTAACCTAATTTTCATCTAAAAGATAAAACCCTTAAATCATGGGTAACTTGGAGGGAGAAACTGAAAAATCATGGAGAAGCTACTGCAGTGATCAAAGGTGCAAAATCACAGTACCAAGTTTAAGTTGCTGATGGTAGAAACTGAGATAAATGGATGAATTATGGAAACATTTCATAAATAAAACTGACTGGACTGACAAATGAACTGGAGGTACAGAGAACATGAGAGCAAAAATCAGTATGATCATCAGCTGTTCCAATTGAGAAGTTCATTTTTTATGAGGTCCAAAAGCATGGGAAAAAGTAGTTTTATGGTGGTAGAGTTTCATTTTTTATGCATTTTGAGATGGCTATGATACATTCAAAGGATGTGTCAAATGGAACCTCAAGAAATGTAGGCTGGAAACGTAAAGTTAGGAGATGTCAGCTCTTTGAACAAGAATGGGCAGAGAAAAAAGAACACACACAAGCACAGAGGCCCAGCAGGTTAAGCAGAGGTTGAGGGATGAGCCGTGAGAGCGAGCAGGAAGGGCTTTCCAATGAAGAAGAAAAGTAAGAGAGAATGATGCTAGGAGTCAAGAGAAGAGAGCATTTCAAGAAAAATGGGATATTAATATTTTGAATATTTCTGAACCTAAGACAAGAAAGATATCTGATCGGTTTGGCATGAGGGACATCACCTGTACACTAACTAAGCAATTTCAGTGAACAGGTAGAGTAGAAACCAGCTCAAAACAGTTTAAAAGGACTAGAAGATAACATGCTAAAAATAATTTAAATCAATAACACTTCCTGGAAGCCTGGCAGTGAACACAAAACTGAGAATCTGAGCAACAGTTAAGCACAGTTTATTTTTTTAACATAGATACTATTACAGCATGCTTATGCTGTTGTATATAATCTAGATGGGGTGGGGTGGGAGTATTTGAAAACACAGAAAAAGAAAGAATATCAAGTTGTTAGTAATAAGACAAGAGTAGATCTTCAGAACTCACATGGAAGGACTAGTTTCAGGGAAAAGAATCAAAACATCTGAGGGAACGCTGTTTGATTTATTCAGTAAGAACTTGGCTCCCAACACAATTATTCCATGAGCAGAACAGAATGTCATGTGCACACACTGCAGACACTTGGAGATTGTATTGACTGATATCTCAACAGGAAACTGATTTGGAATGGAGGGACACAGAATGCATTTCTCAAGCCCTAGTAAATAGTGAATTATCTATGAGCCCACTGAATCCACAGCAATCCAAGGCAGTAACTGAAAGAGCCCTGAAGTACTCACTTCTCTTGGTGATCTCGAGCCCCCTTCCCGAAATGTTGGTTTACATCTGAAATTAATCTGTCGTATAAAAAGAAAGATACATTACATTAGGGGTAACCATCAGACTAGATTGAATTACCTGAAAAAAATCCATAGAAACAGATATTGAGCTATTATTCCCAAAGAATAAAGAACAAAGCTTAACACCACTCTTAGTCTTTTGAAATCACCACATGAGAGAGTCCACAGATATGTCAAGTGATTTCATACCTAAATCCAAGTCCCTTCATTCTTAGTGATGAAATCAAAGTATCTGTAAATACTAATGCTCTCAGACTGATATTTGGAGAAACTGAGGTAAGAAAGAATCAGAAAAAAATACATAGCAGCTGAAACCATCCATTTGGGTTTCAGATTTTAAAAGAAAATATAAATTTGAGAAAATTTAAGTATTATGAGAATTATTCAGATTATCCAAAATTATTCTTTATTAAAGATTCAGCCCTGCCATGTGAAAAGGAAGACCTCTTGGTTGGTAATCTGCATCTTCTTTAGTGCTGGATAAAATGCAACAAGTGTCGAATGAGAGAGATGAGTGAATGGGATTGTGATAAAAAAACATTAAGGTCAATGTGAGTAGCCACTGTCACAAGATACCAGTGAACAACAGCTGCAATATGTCAGGGAAACTACATAGGTGGGAAACTAAACTAACAGTCATGGAACCAAAATGTTTCAATACATTCACTCAAGGCAGCTCAAGAGCCTAGACAGTGCACAGAGAATTGTATGTGGAACTGAAGTAAGAAGTGTGAGACAGAGTACAGCAGGCTATGTAAGGGAGTCTTGCCCTTGCCCTAAATAATAAAGAAATGGACTGTGTAGAACCCGTGTCTTCAGGGGGAATGCACCCCGAGGATGTCACTTCCAACCCAGCCACACATTCGTGCTGCACAAGCACAGACACTGGGTACAATCTATAGAAGAGATCGAGGGTTGCTTTCAGGTTCTGCTCTCTCCCTTGAAGCCACTTAAAGAAGAACTGAACTCATAAAGAGAAGCATATGTAAACTACAATCTTAAGATCACAGTTGATGGAATTGTTTTCTCAAAGAAACATTTTGTTCAAAAACAGATTATATAGGAAGAAAATTAGTGCAACCATGCTCTTCCCTCCAGTTTTATCATTTTACTCAAGAGTCAACAGTAAATGATATCAAGTAATGCTTCAGGAAACAACAGAATGAATGACCCTTAGATACTGTCTTTTAATTATTAATCTGGTAATTGTATTTCACTTCCAGGTTTTTAAAAAGGGCACTGTTTTCAAAAAGTTGGAAATGTAATTGAAGATCAAACACTTGCAATGAATATAAGTAGCAGCAGGCGGCGCTCTCTTACCTTTTCTAGCTGCTCGATGCAGGCAGTGTGGACCACGATTTTACAGACTGCACACTTCCTCCTGAGAGCGGATTTCTACAATGTTCAAGTCAAAATATAAGAAAGAAATGTTAATACTTTGTTCTGAAGACATCCCTAGTAGTAAAAGGAACATACAGAAATAAAGCAAGCATTGCAATTATTTCTATTACTAAACAAATGCAAAACTTCATTTTAAACATTAAATAATGTGACAAACTTCACCAATCATCTCAACTCACCAACTAGCTCCACATCCACAAAATTTCCAGTGGCCTAGGATCATCTCTCCCACTATAACAATAGTTATAGCTTCTACATACTGGGCACACAATATAAACTAAACTCCTTATTGTGCTACCATACTCCTAAGTTACGACATAACAATGGAGTCATTGTTATCCTCTTTTTTCACATATTTTATGTTTTCAATCAAGTATTTAACATGCCAACATCCTTAATTTAGGTCTGCCTTCAAATCAAGCATCTCTTTTCTGCTGCCAGAGTTTGCATTTCAAGAGGTATGGGAACATACATAACTAGAAGGACAAGAAACAGTAGCAGAAGTAGTAATAGAAGCAGCAATAATAATAGAATTCTACTCTGCAAATTCAGGACATGAATGGCATGTCCTGGTGCTTTCCTGCTTCCTATGGATATGCTGGTTGGATCACTGCCTTTGTACCACTTGCAGAAAATGCATAGAGTATTTGAGTCTTGTTGTTCATCAGAGTTACAGTGGTGCTAAGGGAACTGGAGTTGATTCTAGTCCACTTCTCACCAGCTGCAACAGCCCTGGTAGATTTCACTAAACACAAGCAAAGCAAGGTATCCAAGGTGGGTAGTCACGTGTGGGCTAGGACTTCATGGTGCCTGAAAAGCTTCTTTCCTTATCAGTAACTCCTACCTCTGTCTAGCTTGGTACTCACCATGGTGCTCTGCATGCAGTGGAGCCTCAGAGATTCTGGAGACTTCTGGGAACTAGTTGAGGACACAGCATGGAACACTGTGCAAGCTCAGAAGCCTGTGCATGCTTGGAAACCGGAACAGCTCCTCTGTGCTTTGTGTTCCTTACCAGAATTCTGAGTCAAAATCTCTTTTGAACAAGGTATCTGGGCCACATGAGTTTGGGAGGCACCGAGTTAAGATATACCATCTCTTAGCTTTCTAAGATGACATGCAACTATGCTAGCATCATTCATCAGGAATAATTCAAGTGCAACATTCTATGATGACAACATATGACATAAAGGGCCGTAAGTGATAAAACTAATTTTAATTGCATAATATTGAATTTTAGAAGACCCTCTTAAAATATATTGCAAGTTTCTATGACTCTTTAGGCAGAATATACAGACCATAATCTGAATTTTCCTTCATAAACCCTGCACAATGCATCGTTCTACAAAGACCAATCCTTTTGGTGTTCCTGTCTTTCTGATTGAAGCTCCTTTCAAATCATTGTTCCTGTCTTTTGTTCTCTCCAGTTTCCTAAATGACAGTTTCTATACAGCTTTTAGTCTGAAAATCAGATAATTAAGGTTTATAATAACATGCAAAATTAAGCGAATAAGTTCTGAATGAAGGCCTGAGGTCTTTTCCATTATAATTACGAACTTGGATTTTAGTTCTTCAATTGATGGGAACTGTTTCAGTGGGCTCATAGTCTTTACTGTTGTCCTCTTGGTTTATGAGTAAGTTTGAATGGGTGAAAGTTATTTGAAATAGCTGGATAATAAGCTTTTAGGCAGAAACTCTTCAAAACATAATAGTTTTGTGCTTGGTTATGTAACAATTTTTATTTTGAAAATTTAAGGCAAATACAGGAAACATAGTATGCAAGTGCAAGGATCTAGATCTTCTAAGCCCTGGGAAATATTTCCTTTTTCCTAAATAACTATTTTGTAATTCACTATGAAATGTTGTGAGTTAAAGTCATTAACAAATCTTCAATAGGTTAGTTATTACTCTTCAAGCACAAAGACATAATTTTTAAAAGAAACATTATCTGGGACACTAAACATGTTTTAAAAATCAAAATTATAAAAATGTATCAATGGGCTTTCATCAATGAGTTTATTTGGACTTGTTACTTTAAATGTCAAGGAGAATCACCTTAGTGCCTTAATAAGCGTTCCCTGATTTTATCCGTGCTGATATTTAAAGAAACCCATTCACGTCTGTGGGGGGCAGCACCTTCCAAAAGACTAGGCCAATGTGAGACAAAATACTGATCACATCCTCTCCCACTCTGATCTAAGAAATACATGACCGGCACCTCCTTAAGTGGGTGTGATCTACAGCTATGCAAGGTAGAAGAGAAAACACACTCAAGGTTGTGTTTGGCTCTGAATTATTCCTCGTATGCAGGCACCAGAGGCAGTGCTCACCCAACTGCAGCCCTGAGGAGCACAGAAGTGAAATCGCACAGCCTCAGGCACTGGGGCTGGGGCCTGCAGGGACAGAAAGACCGGAGGTGAGCACAAGTAGACAGCACCCAGCTGGCTGATACTGCGTTTTCTACCTATCTCACCCATTTGGCCACACTCCTCGTCTGCTGGTTCCTGATCTATATGTGGCACCAAAAAAACTATCTTTTATTCCTTTGAAAGCTAGATGTGGTTTATGCTATTGCAGTGCATATCAGGTGGCAGTTATTAGAGTTTGATAGAAAAAGAAAAGAGAGAGAAGAAAGGAAGGGAGAGGAAGAATAAAGATGAAAAGAAGGGAGAGAAGGGAGGGGAGATGAAATAGGACGAGGAAGAGTAGAAGAGAGGAGAGGAGGGCAGGTGGGAGAGGAGAGACAGGGAGGGCAGGAATACTTTAGGGACTTAGGCAACCTAGTTTCATAGGCCGATAATTTTTGAGAAGATTAGAGCCTTTCTGCTGCTCAGGATAACCACAGTGTTTTTATCACCCCACCAGCCTGAAGTCTGAGCCCTGAGAATCAGGTGCCACAAGGCTAGCTGTCCCTTCCCAATAAGGCCCACAAGGGTGAGTTACTGCCCCGCGCCATCCAGCTGTGGTCTTAAGAATCTGCTTGCCTTTCTCCACCTTCCCGGGCTCCATCACTAGACATCAGAAGTAGGGAAGGGAGCAGAAATGGGGCCTGCCTGACAAACTTTGCTTGGTTTCCTGCCTCAGGAGCACTCAGAGGCCAGAGCCTTCCACCTGCCCCAAAATAAAGAGTGAAGTGTAGACTTGGAAATCTCACTGCAGACAGAAATCACTGCTTCCACAGGCTTCTGCAGGTGAAGAGGCCGCGGTGAGCACTGGACAGAGGGCCCATGGAGCAGACCCAACACCCGAAGTGGGCGGAGCCAGAGAGGCACTCACTCCGAGGAAGGAAGGCTAGGATGGACGCCAGCAAGAGGGAGGCTGAGCCGCTGGCCGAGCGGTCAGGCTCACCTTCCAGCCACCAAAGCCTCCTCTCCCCATGACGTTTCAGCCCTCAGCCTTAGGCCAAGAGAGGTCCAGCCACAGCACTGCAGAGAAAGAGGGTAGCAGGAAGGAGCCAGCAGCCCAGGTAGGGCTGGCTCCTCTTCTTCCTCCCTGCAAGTGAAACTGAGCAAATGCTTAGTACAGCACCTGGGAGGAAACTTCCAGAGCCTTTAGAATGTCAGGAACTTGGTGTCCTTTCCAGGAGGACTGCCTCTGCGGGCAGCATATACAAGAACAGTGCTGCTGTATAACCCAAGGTAAATGAAAACAAGGGTTCTTTGATTTATTTAAAACCTGATTAGAAGAAGTGACAAGCATACTTGGCAAGTCCTGCTTCTCTGGGGAGCCTGGCATCCAATCAGTAAATTGGTATTAGAAAAAATGAGGAATGGCATGATCTAAAAAGCTCCATCCGTATGATTACAGAGCCGAAGTCCAGCCTCCTGTCACTCATGTTGGCTCCTCTTCCCTGGACAGATCTCGGGACATTTCGGACACATCAGGAGGGCATCCACTGAAGTTCCAGCACACCTTGTGAGAGATCCTCAGGAGATCACAAAGTCTGTGACAACAGGATCTCGTGCTCTCTGACCAAGGAGCAAAGATGCACATGTCCAGAGAACTCTGTGACCCCATGGGAACTCGGTGCTCCTGTAGCAGACCGGCTCGGTGCTGGAGGGTCCCAGTCCTCCGCCTGAGTAGCACTGGCCCATGCCGGAGACGCAGCTTTCATTCATCAACACCATGTGTCTGCACAGAGGACCTGGGGAGTGCTGAGTCCCCGTGAAACAGCCCTCCACCACTGACACCTAGATAATAAGCAATGTTCAAGGTGCCTCAGAATATCTGGAACCAAAAGCAGCTCAAAGGCAGCTGCAAGTGAGTGCACCAAAATACTCACTTCATGCTCCCATAACGCCATCACACATGAACCAGTATGTGCAGCTTATCTGCAATCGTGATGGTGTGAGATATCTTGTACATGAACTTCCCATGTGGCAAGAGCAACCTGCTAAACACTGACTTTTCCAAACATATTTATGAAAATAAGCCAACAGATCATTCTAACCATCACTATGTGCTTAAGACAATGTGAAGGCTATGCAAGACATAAAAAGAAGCTTCTGACCTTCTGGACAACTGGAGGAGGCAAGAGGGACTTGAGAGAAAGGTCTTTTAACAGGAGAGAGCCACACATGGCCAAATGCTGAAGGAACAGCTCAGAAAATAAAAGCCAGGATTTAGAGAGTAAGATTGCAGAAGCTAAGTCAGTAAGAACTTAAAAGAAAAATCAAATTCTTGAACTTCATCCTGAAAGATATATACAGTTGTTGGATGTGATGATGCATGCCTATAATTCAAGTTACTCCAAAGACTGAGACAGGGAAATCATAAGATCAAGGCCAGCCTAGACAGCTTAGGGAGACCTTGTCTCAAAATAAAACTCTTTTTTTGGTACCGGGGATCGAACTCAGATCCTTGCACTTGCAAGGCAGGTGGCAGAACCACTGAGCTAAATCCCCGGCCCAAAATAAAACATTTTTAAAAGAATCAGGGATATGGCTTAGTGGTACAGCACTTGTCCAGCATGTACAAAGCCCCGTATTCAATCCCCA